CAGGGGGGCGGGAGGGCGGAGGAGGGGGGAAGGGGTACATTATGCGTCTGAAACGGGAAAATCGAGAAAATTCGTATCAATCGAAAAAAAAATTGTTCCGTTGATGTGTTGACGTGTCGGGAGACGTGGATAAAATTGCATTCAAGAGCAAGTAGTCAGCAGAAGCACGTTGAACGGCCAAACCTTTTCATTATGACGTAAACTGTTTCAGATTGCTCGAGAGGCTCTGATCCATTACCCGTCAGTGGCCGCCACTCAACATTTGCAGCTCAAGAGTTTTTTCAGTAAGCCTTTCAGTAGGACTTTCAGTTTCTTTCAACGAAATCTTTTTCAGTCCCAATGGAAGTCAGATCCATCATCCTACTCATCCTACTAGTACCGTCCTTATCATTCCGTACTGTCGGGGCGGCACAGCCGCGCTGCACTGTGACGCGACAGCGGCTGCGGCTCGGTGACGGTGAATCAGCTGATTTCGATGGAATTCGGCTGCAAATTCCCACTTTTTCAGCTCCACAAGCTAAAGCAGCTAAAAAAGGAAGGTGAGTTACTGAATGAGTGAGTTACCAAACTGAATTGTGCTGGCTCTGATTTCCTTCATTTTTGTGTCGATTATTATGCTCTTTTCCTTGCATTTTGCCTTATTTCAGGCATTTATTCAAAAGGCTTACATTCTTTCAGAGTCATTCAGAGTCAGTTTAATTCAGAATTGGTCAGAATAACTCAACTTCCATTTTAGAAGAGCCAGCCGAATTCCATCGAAATTAGCTGATTTCGTCACTCGAGCCGCGCAGCCGCTGTTGCGTCACAGTGCAGCGCTGCTGTGCCGCCCCGACAGTCCGTAATGATGAGGACTGTATATGTATATGATCTACTGTGTGTGTAGCTCTATCTGTCATGAAATTGACTATGCCGCCCGTCACGGGAACGCTGGACTGAATGACAGTTCCAAGATAGGGCAGCACGCGAACACTATTTGGGGGGGGGGGGGGTGACAGAAATGATCACAGTCGATAAGATTCGATGGCAGGCTCCAGAAGAGGGGAGTCGTCAATTCTATAGTGCCCGCAGCAGGAACTGTAAGGAGTCAGTTCTCTCAAGTACGTAGATGACTGAAAAATACATGTACACCTTTCCAAACATTAACAAATATAGTGTAGTTGCTGCGGACGATTGGGGGTGTCAGGCGGGATGAGTTTGGTGCGGTGCCAAACCCGTTCCCACCAGTTGTTAAAGCGAGCAAGTGATATGACTGTATCATATCGTTCGTATTACTCGTTTTCTACCACTTTTTGTCGCATGTGCGCTTCAACAAGAAGGCAGAGAACGGCTTTGACGGCGTTACACACCCATAGTGCCTAACGCGCCCAACCGTCCGCACAAACTAGAGATTATCTGAAGTGCATGTACGAAAATCACTTGACTTTTCCACTACCAGGGAAACTGTTGAGCTTGTTGTTGTTGTTGTTGGAAAGGAGAATTATTGGAGGGGATGCTTCTGACGGCGTTTTTAGTTCTGCAGAAGATTGAGTGAGAGAGAAGTTGCGTTTGAGTTATTCTCGTCTGAAGCACAACAACTCCGCTCGTGATTCAGCCACTAACGTCTTAGTAACTAAACCCATCCGAAAAATTTCACAAACGGGAAGATTCGTTTTCCGAGGAGGTAGAAAACGCAAGAGTAGAGACATTGCTTGAGCATGCCGTCTTGTGTGTTCTCTAAAACCCCACCCCCACTAAAAGCTATCACCCGTGAAAAGGCTCCGTCATTTCTACCCGGCTAGTAGGTCTGCTCCACCTCTAATTTGCCATAGAAACACACGGCCGCAAGCGCTTGCGAGTCGTTACGTATCTAATCCTTCTTGTCTGAGCAAACAATGGTTGGGATGTCGTACCGGGATCTTTTTCCGGGAGTGAATTCGTACTGACACCGCGATTTCACACATCCAATACTGTACACTCTTTTATGTCTTTTATGTACGTGGGCGCAGCCAGGACCGTCATACCGTCCTGACACGTGACGGTCTTTCCTTTAAAAGACGATAAGAATATGGGTACGTCAGTAAGAAAGACTTATTACCTAGCTCTCATCTACGACTTTCCTACGATCAAGCTGGACTGCAATATGAGACCACCTTTGTATTTTTTTCAGTTGTGAAACTATATAGGTTTGAGTGTTACTAATTTTACAGTTACCGAATGTTCATCAACGACGGAGGAGTTGAGCGTGACGGAAATTTTAATTGGGAGGTATTCGTTGCTCTATCAACGGCATGGATAATAACTTGTCTTTGTCTCATAAGAGGCGTCACACTGATAGGAAAAATCTCCTTTCTGACGGCAACATTACCGTATGGTATAATAGGTAACAACATACACATAAATACACACTCCGCGATAATAATGAACAAGGGAGACACGTCAGGGTCATTATCATGAGGCAACGATGATCGTGGTGGGAGTGGTGACGCATAATCATCGCCATTAACGAAGCTCTCGTGCTACATAGTAAGGCAGCGTTTAGGCTTCGTAATATTAGGTTGTCCGGAAAGTTCTCAGCGTTTTGTGCACCTATTCTTTGTACATTCGCTGATTAAAAACTCATTCTGCCTTGCTTCTCAGTAGCACATCCTGTAGAGAATTTCTTGCGCTATCTGATGGTATAATTGCCGTTTCACCATTGCTTGATAAACCCCTTTTTTCAAGATTTTTTCAAGCATGTGAAAAGAGCACTTCGGACGATTTTTTTCGACTATAAATTGGGGCAATCCGCAATCGAAACAGCTCAACAAATTAACCAGGTGTGGGGGCCCAATAGTGCTAGAGAAAGCACTGTGCGGCAATGGCTCAACAAATTTCGTTCTGGAGATTTCAGCCTTGAAGATGAACCTCATAGCGGTCGACCTAAAGCAATATCTGACGAGGATTTTAGGGGGATTTTGGAGGCTGACCCATCCCAAACAGTTCGAGAGATAGCAGAAGAGCTAGGCCTTGGCAAATCCACTGTTGCAGATGGTCTGGAACGCATTGGGAAGGTGAAAAACTCGACAATTGGGTGCCCCACAATCGGAGTGACCGGCAGGAATCGGCACGTCTCGAGGTTCCTTCTGCATTGCTTTTGCGCAGCAGAAACGACCTGTTTTTGGGCCGAATTGTCACCTGTGATGAAAAATGGGTCATGTATGATAACAGGAGACGTTCCGGACAGTGGTTGGATTTCGACGAACCACCGAGGTAATTTTCAAAGCCGAACCCTCACGAAAAAAAGATTCTGGTCACGGCTTGGTGGTCATCGGCTGGTGTGATCCACTATAACTTTTTATCACCAGGCCAAACCATCACAGCAGAACCCTACTGTGAAGAAATCGACGAATTGTACCGAAAATTTTGTCAGATGCAGCCAACACTTATCAAAAGAAAGGGTCCGATTCCTTTGCATGACAACGCCCGCCCACACGTTTCACAAATCACTATCCATAAATTGAACGAATTGGGGGTTGAAGTTCTACCTCAACCGCCATATTCTTCAGACCTTTCGCCAACCGACTATCACCTTTTCTAACATTTTCAGAACTCCCTTGCTGGAAAATACTTCATCAATCAGGACCAGGCAAAAAAGCCTTAGTGGATTTCGTGAATTTTCGACCACCCAGTTTTTTGATGGGATTTCTCGACTGCTGTCACATTGGCAAAAGTGTGCTGATTCGAATGGTGCCTATTTCGATTAAATCCGATGAGTATTAAAAAAGTTACGATCGTTTAAAGTGAAACACCCAAAACGCTGAGAACTTTCCGGACAACCTAATAGCAGCGCTTGGATCGCGTTTCGACGCAATCGATGCAGGCATCGATCGCGCCCAACGCGCGGCCGAAACGCTGCCGTCGCGAAGTCTGAAGGCTGTCTAAAGAGTACCAGGTACGATGCTTGCGGATTCCGTCAGTTCTCCGCCCGTTCGATTATCGTGGAATGTGCCTTAGTCCATGATAGGCATTGATAATAAAGCGCATTCGAGGAATAATGCTCGTACGTGGAGCGACCATGGATGGTGCAAAAGCAGGTATCGATTATTTACTGTTGAATCCCGATACGAGCAAGCTGTGGGTGCTGAAGGTATGTGGTCATGTGCAGCGACTTTTTGAATTAGGTGATCTTTCCAATTTCAGACATGGGTTGAGGCCGTCAAACAGTTGTGCTTTAGTCTCAGTATTGGCTTTGGTGGTCTGCTAGCACTTTCATCATACAATAAGAAGGGACACAACTGTTTCCGGGTAGGCGGATTCTTATATAATATTCTTCCTCAGCGTTTGTCCCTGTACCTACGCCACCTTTCACGATTGAATGCCTGATCGGGATGAACAGGGCACATCATTGTTGGGGATTCCCCAAAAGGGGGGTCGTCTTCGGCTGCTGGGAGAGGGGGGTCGTAATGAGTGCGGTAGCCAGCGCAAAGGTGTCAGTGTGCTGAGTCCTGTGTAGCGAAACTTGCTTTGTAGAGAATCCGGATATGTAAAAAATAGTACAAAACTTTCTTTGATTAAACTAATCAGAAATTAACTGGAAATATTAATAAGTCGACATCATCTCGTAAGTAGGTATATGGCTAAACAGTACAACTCATACCCTGGTCCGCTGCGGATGATGGGGCGTGTCCGAGCGACCGCGCTTGGCGCTGAGCCAACCTGTCTTTTTTCTTACGACAAACGACAGGACTACTAGTTCGTATCCATTCGTATCAGACGTTTTCCAGCTGTTGCTCTAATATATCAGAGTCAGCAATTGAAATAGAAATTGGCGGAGACAGATCTGGCGGCGTCGGACACGGACACGCCCCATCATCCGCAACGGACAACACTGTAAACAAGTGCGTAGGTTGGCCATGGAACTCCCTGAATCCTGTAAACACATCTGCTCGTGTAGACAGGCATTGCGTGGAACTGCGCCATCCCAAGGCGCTAAAACACCTACTGCTTGCTCCTATTCCACGAAGGGATGCATTCCAGATGCATTTCTGGATATCCGAGTACGCTCGCTTGAAACGGTACACAGAAAACGGATTTTTTGAGCAGCTCGGAGTGCTCCTTGAAGACAGCCCCCGCGCTCAAGTAGTACATGGTCGTCCTTCCTTGTGCAAGTAGTACAGCCCCCAAGCTAGAGACTGTCCCACTCTCGCAACTCCACAGCGAGCGATTAGCGAGCTACAGCCGCTGAAAGTTCTAGTTCTAACGCCCGCTCAGTTGGACCGCCCACTTGCTAGATGCCCTCTGCGGAGGCCGCTCAGTTGTTCTTTGTTGGGGCGGCGGGCATTAATCGGAATCGCATGCCCTTTTTGCTGACCGCGCTCGTGCTCATGAATGATTCTGCTCTCCTTCATTACATTTTATTCATTAGGGGCATATACATTCAACTCAACCCATTTCGCAAGGTGAAACGCGTAAAAATCACGAGTGACGCAATTTTCGTGGTGCAAAAGCTCGACGCACTTCACTACACTAAAATGTGCGCTACCGTAACCCAAACCTTAATCTCTTTTTCCGTCCAAAAGTTTTTCCTCTGCGTTTTTTTGTATTCTTTTTTTGCACTGGATGATATCAACTGCGAGATGTGATAGAGAGATTTGTGAGCTAGGGGTTGCACAGAGACCGCAGGGAGGTGTGACTGTGAGGGAGCGATTTTGTTTATGGTGTTCTTGAGGACTCTTCTTGTTTCTTCTCTTGAGGGATTACTTATCAGCTACTGTTTCATAATTGAAAAGCAATTATCCATGCCACTTTTGTCGCGGAAGCTGTCTTTAATAGGTCTCCAACGCAATTATCTCATGAATTCCGGAAACTTCAGAAACAGTTCAAGTAGTTTTGAAAGAGAAAATCTTCTAGCATTCGACACTGGTTTCAGATTCCCAAACTGTTGAGGTTCAACTAAAATATCTTGGTTCAAACTTGACAGTTTGCATGCAAAAGTCAAAATCCTCAATAGATCCCCAGGCTGAATTTCTCTCTAAATTTGGCGACCTTCATAAACACTTTCAGTACTTTCGGAAGCTCAAACCTTTCTCTACACGACTGCGTTCTCCTCTTTCCCACAGGTCCGCTTTTGAGGAAGTTATGGCCCTTCAAAGACACCCTACTTTCCTGAAAATCGCGCTCCAATCCAACCACCTTGCAACCACCTTGCGGCGTTGGTCCTGCCCAGAATCCCTTCCAATCGATTCCTCGGTTTTCCAGCTGATTTCGGCTGGTCAGTTCCACTTTATCTTCTTTTTTTCTGTTATAGCTTTTTTTCTTTTTTTCTGTTAGAACTATTAACACGACTGTACAAAATGTATCGGTCTAGAAGTAGCGGTAATAAAGGTAGCGGTAACGTGCACTTTATTTTCTCAGCAAGCAATGGAGGGATTTGGCCGCATTCAAGGCTTGCGATTGTGGCAAAGTGCAGAAATGACGAACTGACGAAAAGCATTGGATACGTATCCATTCTCTGCAAGTATTCATCTCTCCATTTCTGAATTTCGTCAATCTGCGCTGCTTCAGTTTTCATTTCCGCATTTCGTCACTATCGCAAGCTATGAATGCAGGCCTTTTCCGGGAACTGATTGTGTTTTGTGAGGGGTCATCTATTCTTTTCAACGCACTATGTCTTCGCTTCATACCTTGCGACAGCGAGGAACTGACCAATTGAAGAAATGCAGAATCGAAGAAGTGTGTTCCGTTCCCGCCATTCGCAGTTTTTGATTCTTCAGATCAATGAGTATCTGGTACTTTTCGTCGGTTATTCAATTCCGCATTTCCTCAACGCTTCACTGACGCACGGTATGAACGCGGCCTTATGCTGCGTTCATACTTTCAGCGTGGCAAAACGGCCCGCGAACGCTGGCGTTCACCGTATGTTGTTCGTTATCGTTATCAAATCGTTAATGGGGTCCGAAGTAGGCTACTTTTTACTATTTCGTTATTGTTGTTTGTCATCAAATTTCTCCCATTCACTTTTTACTCCTCCGTCCTTACCTAAATCTTCGAAAGGGGTATCACTGAAGGCTTCGGTTATTAGGGAGTTAAGAACCATTCTTTTCGAAAAACTTGTTCTTTTTATCACCAAACCGTAAAAAGAAGAGGGGGAGTACCGAGCCCCAAAAAAAGGAGGGGGGGGGTCGTACGAGCTTGACCAAAATCCTCAACCAGTGATGTGCCCTGGGGAATGAATGCCGGCTATTTTGAAGATCGGTGTGGCAGTCATGTCGCCGGTAGCCGCTGTTGGGAAGCGCCTTTTTTTACCGCTTTCCTAAGTAGGCTTCGAGGGAGGAGACGCAGGGGACGGTGTCCAGCCTTCGCGCGAATGCTACGTGACACAGTAAATCGAAGGTGCGTTTTCACGGCATTTTTTTTTTTCTGCTGAGGAGAATAAAAGAGGAGAGCTAGACACCAGCACTGACCACGGCCTAACGACCATACACCACACTTCGGCTGGATTACCAACAGACACTGCCTGCAGTGTCGAGACAATGCGCGTCCGATCGCGTGACGCCAGCCGTCCAGCGGAGCATCTTCATGTCCATCATACCGAGCCCAGCTTCGACTTCTTTGGTCGCGGGTCAACACCCTGCAGCCTAACTGTAAGGTAGCCGGTAACGACGTCTTTATAGATCTCTTGAATTGAATACGCTCTGGCATCTTTTCCTTTTCGCAAAGAATCTGCAAGATATGGATGGCCATTTAGACGCATGGCCGCAGCTCACAGTGCGCTCCACTTCTGACTGTTACACTGCCATGCAGGAAGTGTCATTGCTGAGCTGAGACACTCGAATGTGGTCAAGAGCAGAAGCAGACCAGACCCAAGAAAACTAGACCCGGTACTAGAACCGGCACCTTCCAATGGCTCTGTGAGTGCGCTGCACCGTACGACACGGGGCTGCTCTTATTCTCTCAGCTCAATGCTTTGGTGTCTATTATTAGACCTTGAGGAATCTTCATGTGAGACTCCGCGTGCTATGATTTCAGGCACGCTGCCTTTCTACATTGCTTTTTGCGATGTTGCTAGCGGCTTATAATATTTTGAAACGCATTTCCTGCTCTATAAGTAATAGATACAGAAGCGTACAGGTGCTTCTAAATAACCTGGAGAAACTAGATACTCGCAAAATTTTTCTATTCCAACTCAGATTGGGCAAGAAAGCTGCGAAAACATGGGCAATCCAACAAGAGGTGCATTTACCTATATATAAAATACTATGCTTGAATTTGAAGCTCTGAAGGCTGCAAAATGTTCTGCACCGGCGATGAGAGCCTCAAAGAAAGTGAGCGTGGTTTACGATCATCGGATGATGACAATGGACAGTTGGAAGCCTAGATTCGAAAAAAAAATCGGCGTACAACGTGAAGGGCGAGATGCTGAATGGGGCGCGACGGCTCGGAGATCGAAGTCTCCAAGCGAGAGAATATGTGTGTCCACAATGCAAGAGATGAAAGTCGAATGCATTGGCTGCGTTCACGCTTCGCGATGACGCAACGTCGACGCGCTACTATCACGACGCTTCAAAACGTTATACGAGAGCGCATTCGCAGATGTCCTCTCGATTGATGTGGACAACATATGCGTAACCACACAATGACGCGACCATATCTTATCTCACTCGATACTCTCAACACAACATGTGGCAGGACTGCATTGATCTAAGCCGTCGGCAGGAGGAATGCTGATTGTACGGGTTTATTTGCCGGTTGCGGCCGTCCTGTTGCATATCTGCACTCAATTGCGCTGTCCGGCTCCATCGCGAAGAGTTTGAAACGCTGCCTGAGAACCATTGGGAATAGTGGGTGCACTAAAATTGTGTTAGGTATACGCAGAGGGATTTGTCTTAGCCGAGGAGTGAGACTTCATCCACTTATTTTACCTATGCAACAAAACCAACAAATTCATAAAACGTAATTGTGAACGTATATTGCGCAAAAAAAAGGATTAGTGTGTGCTTAGGTGCGGTTCCGCAGCTCGATTTGTCGATCCTTAAAACACGTCCTAGGACTAAGTTCAGTAGTCGAACCTTAAAACACATTATTGTAGGTGCGAAGAAGGAGTCGACCCAGGAACGTCACTTCATGAGCCGAGTGAGCAAAGACCATGGGCTAATGTTACGATAGGACACGCGTGGCACACAGCGAGGGTCTGAGGCGCGCTAATCGACATAAGAAATCAGCCAACATAAGTTTGAAAACTACTGAGAGTGATTTAGAGCGAAGTAAACAAAGAAGGGGGGGGCGGAAGCGTTCGCATCTTCACCAAGATCCGAGGCGCGTAAAGCGCCCACTTCGATCGCATATTACCGGACCAACATTTTGGAAGCATCGACAGCTTTCTCCTTTCCATCAGAGAAAAAATACTTCCCCAGAAACCACCGAGCGGCATTCACGTTTTCATATTTCATTTCCTCACGGAACCAGTTTCGACTTCCTAAATAGCAGAATTGTGATTATACGAAATTATATTTATTTTACTGATTCATATATTACGGCTTGCCACTGTGATCCGACCGTTGCGTTCGCTGACGCTCGAAGAGAACGAGCACAGAGGGATAGGGGGGACTTAGCGGGGCGGGAAGAGAAAAATGCTATCAGGTCCGGGGTTCCTGAGGAGCTAGAGGCACGAGGGCGAGGGGGGTGAATTAGGTGGGCAGGGGCAAGTAGCGCGAGACCTATATGTTCAATGAGAGAAGCTGAGAGCACTATTTGCAAGTGCCAGAGCCGGCGTATAATAAGGAGATGTGAGCTGACTGCGGCACGAACCAGGATGTCACCGAACTCTACAATGAACATGCAGCGTAGCAAATCACGGTCCGCCTTCACTCTACCAAACTATAGGCACGACACCGTAATCGCGAGTGCCACGGGAGACACGTGCCTGAATGTCAATATTGGCTATGGAGTAAAAAATATGAAAGCGAAGAAATGGAGTAATGGAAGCGAGCCGAGCGTGAAACCGGTGCAGAGCCATGTTGCAATGCCTCTGCTACTATATATAGGAACCGAAACGTCTGTTCGTTTGTCTGTGTTGTTTGTCTGTTTGTCTGTCTGTCTGTCTGTCCGGAAAATAATTCGGAATCACCTGAAGAGCCAGCTAGAAGGGACGGGTCAAGGGTGGGTTGGGTAGGGCATGGGCCAAGATGTACGGAACACACGTGAACCGAGCTAAGCCCCGCCCACTGTGGGCGGGGCGTGCGCACAGTTGTGAGCTACATATTTCAAAAATTCGTAGTCCGGTTCTAGAAGATCCCGGAGAGCGGAAATTGTGGGTAAGGATAAGCAAGATCATTGCGATTGAAATGAGGGAGTCACAAACCCGCCGTTAGATGGGACGGGGCGTGCCTAATAGGGTGGCGGTGCTCGCACACACGAACCTTTCAAAACTTCGTAAGTTCGGTTTCCTCCGAAAGATCGCCGAGGAGAGGGAATTGCTGGGAAACGATAAGCAGTCAGCTTCGGCAGAGAAGTTGAGGCCACACACCCGTGATGGACGGGGCGTGCTATGGGTGGGCGGTGCTCGCCACAGAACTTTCAAAAATTCGTAGTTCGGTTCTAGAAGATCCCGGAGAGCGGAAATTGTGGGAAACGATAGCAAAAACAGTTGGCCGACGAATGAAATGAAGCCAGCCACGACCGCACCAGATGGCAGGCGCGTGCGCGCGAAAGGTGAACCGGTGCCGAGGATAAGAAAACCCTCAAAAAAATACAATCCGAAAAACCTCCAGAAATGGAGTAAGGTGAACAATGATCAAATGATTGGGCAGATGATGTTAAGTAAAGGGATAGACGCGTGGACGGAGTATACCAAGTGGCTATGTTGCCGGTTTATTTTGTGATGCGTTTATTCTGTGGTTCCTCATCACTGACTGGACCGCTGTATAGAAAATTTTGTTGACTGTCTGCTAGGGGGGGTATATACTAGCAGTGAAACGGCAAAAGTCAAAGTAGCGGTATTTCCTCTTGCAAACCAATTTTTTTTTCGATGCCTTTCGACAGGCCACTTCACACGCCGGCAAAAGAGGATCGGCCCGGCGAAGCGGCGATCCGAACTTGGTATTACAATACGTGACCGTGGCAGTAAGCCGGTACTAAACGTAACCGACTCTTATTGGCAGCGACCGTCAAATGAGAAATATCCGTCGGCGAAAATTCACTCTGTGTCAGCGAATGAGCGAAGAGCTTCACTGTGGCAAGGACAGTTCCGACATTCTTCCACCTTCGTTTGTTCGCCTTTTCTCTCACTGGGTATCGCGAGACTGAGGGGGGGGGGGGGGGGGGGGGGGGGGGGGGGGGGGGGGGGACTGAGTGCTACGCATGCCAATTGGCGACCTTATCGGCATACTCGAGTACAACGCGGTATTGAACTATTTGAGGGTCAATACCGCAAGAGTGCCTCCTCACGATCTATATGTACTTTACCATTGAACATATAACTCGAATTGTTTATACTAGCTATCTATTAAGGGACGCAATTATCGTGGTCGTTTGTGACGGCTTAATGAGCATAATTGGTGGTGTTGCTGTGTTTTCAGTGGTAGGAGCATTATCGAAAAGCACCGGGAAGCCTATAGGACATCTCTTCGGTTCAGAAGGTATCTCTACTTTTTATAATTGTGGCTATTTTGCATTTGCCATTCGACCCTTTGATTTTCGATCCATTCCCCGAAATTGCAATGCGACCACCACTGGTAAGTCATAAGAGAGGTGAAAGCAGACAGTATCACCGGGTCCATCACCTCCATAATAAGTGGAACGATCCTGCCTCTGCTCTATCTGGGTGGGGGTTTGCATTTCATAGTCCATGAAGATCCATAAACGCTTCTTTTTTGACAATGTATGTCACGTAAACCAAAAACCGCATGGTGCGAAATTCCCTCATACAACAAAAAAACGGCTACCCACCTTGTTTTCACCTCAGTGGTAAATATGACCCAGCGTCAAAGCGAACGTTCTGCGCCAGTCTATTTGAGCCTTTCCTCGTTTTCTGTTTATCGGGCCGGAGCGTGAGAGTGATCCGTGGACAATGAAAAAAGGACTGAGCGCGAGAGGAGAAGTGGAGGGACCGGAGTTGAACTGAAGATGTGTTGGTCGTCGAGAGGTGCGTGACAAAAGGGGTATGGTGCGATGCGCGCAGCAATCTCCCCTGCGTGTAGCCGAGCGTACTCGCTTTTTTAAGGGAAAGATAATGCACACAATCAGCCTTACACGCAGTTGCAGGAAACACCGGAAGAAAAAGGGTTGGAAAACAACAAAAAAGGCACGTAATTTTTTGCGATTGCTCTCTATGCTCATGTGCAATTGTACTTGTTTTTTTTCGTCTGAGGCTATAAAGCTACGGTCTGGGAGCGATTATGAACTCCTGATTTTTCTTCCGCCAAGCGATCTTTTGCCATTCAGGCTGACCTACACCTCTCCCTCCCAGAGGATGGGCAGTGGGCGTAGGGAGTCTGACTCAAAGCAGCATCACGAACGTTGACCTTGCTCTATCCGGCTGGCCGTCAGCAATCAATTGTGAGGCCATGTCGATTCAATACCCCTACGATTGTTTGAATTGGAAAGTGGAATGCTTGTCGCACACTAAAGTCGGTGTCCTTCTATAAACTTAAACTTTTTCTTCAGTGATCGTTCAACTGGTCATTGGACTTTCTGAAAAAGCGCAGACCTGAACATCGTTCAGCATCTATGCGTCCCATTTTGAGTGGGTAATAAGGTGGTCAGCTAATTTTTTGTGGGGGTAAAATGGGTTGGAGGAAAATGGTGACGAACCATGACGCTCCGTGTTAATTGACTTGTCGCACTATACTGATTAGGAGGCAGTAATTAATGATGTGCGAAAGCGAATCTCATTAGGCCTGAGCCACGTCTCGCGCTAACTGCTGTTGGCTGTGGCTGTTGCCTCGGTAAGGAAGCGAGAAATTGATCAAGCCTAAGTCGATGGAAGAGAAAGGGACGAAGGAGAAACATGTCAGAGTGTGTAAATCAAGCGAATATTGTTCCTGCTTCTTGCGTCAGACGCCCATGGACTTGCTGTAGATGCCCAACCGCCCGAGGCTCCACAGGGTGAGTTGCGATTGACGTCTAATATTGTTACAGTAAATGGGGTGGAAAATAGGTTGCAATATTGACTATATATCATAATAATTTATTACATCTACAGGCAATGCAAGCGGTAGATACCCCCCAGCTAATAGATTAGTGTTAGACATGTGCAACCCTTCAGGTCTAAATAGCATAATGATATCCTGTGAAGACACGAAATTTAGGAATTATTCAACCGCCCCCAGTCCAAAGAGGAATTGTGGAAGGACCGTACAGGTTCTCAAAAGATAGGAGCTACAAAACAATGGAAAGAAAGAATAGCCGTGTAGAAGGTAACAATGTTAATGAGAATAAGTCCATGTAAATATACCGTTTTTACTTATAGATATTATTAAGTATGTTATTCAATGGTAGTTGGCGTGATTCTGACGTCTGCCCATGAGTATTTTATAACAGAATCCCCCGTTTATTTTTATAATACAGGCTTATCTATAAAATATTAATTATAATAAATTCGATATCCAATATTCATCTTGGTTCAATAGCATCTTTTGTCATATCTGATAATCCCCCTACACTCAATATAAACCAGCGTACTCTAGTCTGTCTGTTTGGCCTGTCCCTGTCTGTCTGTCTGTCTGTCTGTCCGGAAATTCGGAATCACCTGAAGAGCCAGCGTGAAGGGGGCGGGTCAAGGGTGGGTTGGGTAGGGCATGGGCCAAGATTGTAGCGAACACACCCATGAACAAGCGTGAGTCCGCGTCCACTGGTGGGCGCGGCGTGCTCACAGTTGTGAGCAGCACATTCAAAAAATTTATAGTTCGGTTCAAAAGAGCCCCGAGAGCGGAAAAAGTGGCAAACGATAGGCAATCAGTTGGCGGACGAAATTAATGAAGCACACCCCTGATGGGCGGGCGTTCGCCGAAGTGAACGGTGCCGAGGACAAAACCCTCAAAACGCATCCGAAAAACCCCACGAAATGGGGAGTAAGGTGAAACTGAGCAATGGTTTGGCAGATGAAGTTAGTGAGGGATAACCGTAGGG